CCCAAATTTTGGATTCCCAAACCCCACATTTCCATTCCCAAACCCCAAATTTCCCGTTTCTCACCCCAAACTCACCGTGATGATCTCCAGCACTTCTCCCTTGCTCACCTCGCCATTCCCAAACCCCAAACCCCACATTTCTCACCCCAAATTTTGGATTTTCTCCTCACCGTGATGATCTCGAGCACCTCTCCCTTGCTGACGTCACCGTTCCCACAATCCCAAACCCCAAATCTCCCGTTTCTCACCCCAAATTTCGGGTTTCCTCACCGTGATGATCTCCAGCACCTCTCCCTTGCTGACGTCACCGTTCCCACAATCCCAAATTTCCCATTTCTCCCCCCAAACTCACCGTGATGATCTCCAGCACCTCTCCCTTGCTGACCTCCCCAATCCCAAACCCCAAATTTTGGATTCCCAAACCCCACATTTCCATTCCCAAACCCCAAATCTCCCGTTTCTCACCCCAAACTCACCGTGATGATCTCGAGCACCTTGGCCTTGCTGACCTCGCCGTTCCCACAATCCCAAACCCCAAATCTCCCGTTTCTCACCCCAAACTCACCGTGATGATCTCCAGCACCTCTCCCTTGCTGACCTCTCCGTTCCTGTCCACGTCAAACAAGGAGAACGCCCACTCGAGCTTCAGGTGCGTCTTTCCCGAGGAGGTGAGGTGCAGCGCGATGATGTACTCCCGGGAACCGCCGCTGACCTCGCCGTTCCCACAATCCCAAACCCCAAATCTCCCATTTCCCACCCCAAATTTCGGGTTTCCTCACCGTGATGATCTCGAACACCTCGGCCATGCTGACCTCTCCATTCCCAAACCCCAAATTTCCCATTTCTCACCCCAAACTCACCGTGATGATCTCGAGCACCTCTCCCTTGCTGACGTCACCGTTCCCACAATCCCAAACCCCAAATCTCCCGTTTCTCACCCCAAATTTCGGGTTTCCTCACCGTGATGATCTCGAGCACCTCGGCCTTGCTGACCTCGCCGTTCCTGTCCACGTCAAACAAGGAGAACGCCCACTCGAGCTTCAGGTGCGTCTTTCCCGAGGAGGTGAGGTGCAGCGCGATGATGTACTCCCGGGAACCGCCGCTGACCTCGCCGTTCCCACAATCCCAAACCCCAAATCTCCCGTTTCTCACCCCAAACTCACCGTGATGATCTCGAGCACCTCGGCCTTGCTGATCTCACCATTCCTAAACCCCAAATCCCCCGTTTCTCATCCCAAACTCACCGTGATGATCTCCAGCACTTCTCCCTTGCTCACCTCGCCATTCCCAAACCCCAAACCCCACATTTCTCACCCCAAATTTTGGATTTTCTCCTCACCGTGATGATCTCGAGCACCTCGGCCTTGCTGACCTCGCCGTTCCTGTCCACATCAAACAAGGAGAACGCCGATCCCAAACCCCAAATCTCCCATTTCTCACCCCAAACTCACCGTGATGATCTCGAGCACCTCGGCCTTGCTGACCTCGCCGTTCCTGTCCACATCAAACAAGGAGAACGCCGATCCCAAACCCCAAATCTCCCATTTCTCACCCCAAACTCACCGTGATGATCTCGAGCACCTCGGCCTTGCTGACCTCGCCGTTCCTGTCCACATCAAACAAGGAGAACGCCGATCCCAAACCCCAAATCTCCCATTTCTCACCCCAAACTCACCGTGATGATCTCGAGCACCTCGGCCTTGCTGACCTCGCCGTTCCTGTCCACATCAAACAAGGAGAACGCCGATCCCAAACCCCAAATCTCCCATTTCTCACCCCAAACTCACCGTGATGATCTCGAGCACCTCGGCCTTGCTGACCTCGCCGTTCCTGTCCACGTCGAAGAGCGAGAACGCCCACTCGAGCTTTTATTTTTACTTATTATTTTTTATTTATTATTATTATTTATTTATTGTTATTATTGTTAGTATCATTATTATTGTTAGTATTACAATTGTAATTATTATTATCATTATTATTATATTATTCTCGTTATTATTATCGTTGTTATTATCATCATTATCATTACTATTAATATTATTACTATGATTACTATTGTTATCATTGTTATTGTTATTATTATAATTATCATTACTATTCCTATTATTACAATGATTATTATCGTTATTATTATCATTGTTATTATTATTATTATCAATTATTATTATTATTATTATTATTATCATCATTATTACCATGACTATTATTACTGATTACTATTGTTGTTATCATCATTATTATTAATATTACAATTATTAGCTCTATTATTATTACTATTGTCACTATTAATATTACTGTTATTGCTATTATCACTGATATTATTATTATTATTATTA